ATATATTATTTTCTATTTAATTTATTTAACGAACTACTACTTATTCCTCCCCTTTTATCTATAATTACACTTCCTCAGGTTTTAATTTTTGTTACCGATTTCTTATCTAGTAATATATCTAATAATAGACTCATTGTTCTTCTATATTTTTTATTTTTTGATATTCATTATCTATTGTTTAAGTATTTTTTTCTATGTCCTTGTAATACAAATTTATTATAGGTATTATATATTTTTTATTTTCAATTATTAATACTAATTTCCTTTTATTTATGCTTCATACAAATTTTTCTATAAGTTGATACCTAATAATACTACTTCATTTCCTTTATTTTTCTTGTTATTAGCTGGGATTTCTATCGTCATACTTATATCGTTACTGAATATTGTTTCAATGTCGAATACTTTTGTATTAATTACTTTTTTTGTTTATATATTTCATAATTGATTTCAGTCTCTATATCTATAATTTTTTTAGCTAAATCTACACTTATATGACTATTACATTCTCCTGTATCTGTAAGTACTACAACTAACTTCATATTTACTAATGAAACAACATGGTACTGACTATAATTCTGTTTTTCTAAACAAACTATTATCTGTTTCATAATTTTCTCTATATCTGAGTTTTATAATATGCTTTTAATAAATAGAAAATAATAAGCTCAGATAAGGTTATACCTTCATTGGTTAGCTAATCTATTCAAGGACACCCGGCCTGAACTCAATTCTCAACAATGCTGCAACAACCTTGGCTATCCGGGTCCCTCTAGAACCTTTTAGCATACTTTAGAATGTATCTTTTCTTGCTTATTATTTATGAGTATATTTAGTTACTCATGAAGTATGAAACACACATCGTTTATTTCATATTACACGACTCAAGTATTTCATACCAACTTGAGCTCTGCCTCAAAATGACAAAGTCTCAACTCTTACATAGGTGAGGATCAGCACAAGTTGTTGTCTCACGCTTTTAAACAAGTGATTTTTATTTATCGACATATCACATCAATAAAGTAAAGATAAGATAAGGTTGGACACTTCAATTATTACAGTCTACATTTTTGTGCACTTTTTTTTTTCTCTTTATTAGATGCTGAGCCTTTTTCTTGCATTATTGTGTATAATTGCCATTGCATGCGTTATTCCTCTATAGGCATGATTTCTTCTTCTTGAGTGGGGCTGCATGTCGCATGCATGATCTTCCCTTAACTTGATGCAAACTTCATGCTTAATTGGCTTGGGTATTTTATACTTGATTTGAAAGACCCATTCCATTAATTTATTTAGTATTTCAACGTCTAAAGACATTGGTTGTCTTATTTGCAAACTCCATGACAAAATAGACTGAGATGAATAGTTACTCCTTCTTTATACTCTATTTTTTACAAGTATAATCACATAATTATTCAAATAATGTGTTAACTCGTCTTCGTGCTTTGTTATTCCCAAATATGGATAATTTTCATTACTAACGCCAATTTTAACATAATTGTATTGCTGGTTGTATAACTCCCCCCTTATCAGAAAAAACTGGAATGGTTGCAAACATTTTTATAAATCCTTCTTTTTTACTAAGAAGCTTACTGGAATACTGGTGAATAGCTTGTGTAAACTTGGTCGGGAAATACTAAAAGATATCAGTACTTCTGAAGTATATGCAAGTGAGTAACCCGGATTGAAGCATAATATATGTTTTTATCGGGTCTGCTTCTGGTAGACTGATTGCTTTAGGTTCTATAAAATGACTTTGAACAAGAAAAAATACTTGTTGTTTTATCTTTGTATGAGTATATAGGAAAAAAATTATAATCTGCTTCAAATAGTGTTCTTGTTAGTTTCGGGCTTCCCTCTTTCTATTGACTTGTATGAATCAGATGAGTGGTAAGTTGTCTAGGACTTGGAAATTTTTCCAAGTACCGATATCTTCTTTTCCAACGAATTCTGAGATTCTGACGATCTCCAACAAAAAAGTCTCATAGTCAGTAAAAATATTAAACCGTGAGTCTTCTACCTTAATCTATAAATCTGTTGCACGTAGGTTAATTTGTAGATAAATTTGTAACGTGCATATTAGCGACGATCCTTATATACCCAACAGTGGCTCCTTCTAGAATTCGTTATTCTGGAAGTGTAACATCCTTCCACCGAGTTGGTTTTGAAATTACGGTATTGCAATGTAAAAGATCTGTTTGTAGAAATAAAGGGTCTCTACCATTTAAGATGACATCGAACCTTAGTAGAAAAGGCTGAATTCATAACTTTGTAGTGAGTCATATAAAGTATTTCTACATCAATTGATACTTCAATCATTCTGTAATCATATATTTTTTGTGTAATACTAAAGATTTTAAAATATTTTTATCACTTAAAATTGTTATATACGGATGGCAATCAAAAGAATAGGTCCAACATATTTACTGGATTTTATTGACATTAAGAGAAAGTCTTCAAAATAAGTACATCTAGCATTTTTTATATAAATAAAAACTGATGTTTACATCTCGACACCAGTTAGAAATGGTTAAGAAACCATTCAACTGAATCTAGTGGGAGGCCTACACAAGTGTAGCATAGAACCTCCTATGCTAACCCACACACAATACAACAAATTGTACAACTCCCACTGGTGGAGAATAAAAGCTTCTATAAGAAGAATAAAAACTATAAAAAGACATTCTCTCAACTGGGAGAAAAAAACCCAACACTAAAACAAATGCAATCACACAAATACTAAGAAATAAAATAAAGCCCTTCCCTCAGTCTAAAAATCGCACCGCCCTAACCACGATGGCAACACCCGCGACCGATCACTCTCATAGACAGAGCCACGACCTGGGATGCAGACCTAGAAACTACCTAACAACGCCTAATTGGATCCAAACCCGATGAACCCTACCCCTCGCCCAGGCGACCCCAGACCCACAAACGGAGGTCCATAAGCCAACCCACCCCAACACGACTAGCGACCCAAACCCATACCACTAACACGACATAATGCCCCACCCAGCCGACCATCCCTTCAGTCCAACGCCAGGGGAGAAGGGGACACGAGAGGGAGGGGGGGGGGAGGAGGGAGAGACCACAAAACCTCCACCCTGACCACCACTACATAGGCAATTGGATCCGCAGTTAGCCCCTACCGAACCGTTGGAGTCCCACCACCACCAAGACGCACGAGGAGCCGTTAAACAACTACCCTCCATGACGACCAAGCATAAGGCGAAACCCACACGAGGAACAACCCTCCAACTCCATCGGCGAAAAGAAGTGGTCTCATGTGACGATTCAATGTGAATCGAGCATCTCGGCCCGGTGACGACCGCCGTCGTGATGTCCTTGGGGCTCCGCTGGGGAAGGTGCACAAAGAGCCTCAACTTTCTCGAGTTTACTATAGAGGGAAAAATGGGGGGAAATTGGGGAATTGGGGAAGGGGGATCCTGATAATCAAAGGCGATTCAATTCAAGTATGTAGTAAAACTGCAAGAATGTCGAAATATATTTAAAAATTAGATAGATAGTGTCACTAAAACTAACAAGTTTTGATTGATAACTCTTTAGGTGCAAAAACATTGATATATATGAAATCAATATTTTCTTGAAGATCAATTTGTCTAAAATACCTTAATATTAATTACATGGTGATCCTAATCAATGAAACCTCACATGCATTCATTCATAGAAATTAAAAGAAAAACAATCTCTTAAACTGTTTTCAATCAAAATGATTCTAGTCTCGCTTAACCAGTTCTTTTTTTTTTTTTTTACAAAATGATTAGTCTTTCTTAATCACTTTTTTTTCAACTAATCGAGAAGCAAACTCTATATCAACTTTTCTACTTAAACATCTCCCCAAAATGGATCAAACTCTCCGGCCAAGGAGCTCTTTCCACCACCCATTTGCGGAGGCGGTGGCCCAAGGAGCGGAGTTGATGGTGTAGATTCAGTGGGCCTGTGAAGCCCATGCCCGGTGTATGGGCCACGACGATAGGCGTGCCCACGCTCCAGGTTCTGGGCCCTGTATCGGTCTATGTAGGCGGCCAGAGGCTCGACATACGCATCGAACCCTAGGGAGCCCATGGCCGAGAGCAGATCCTCGGAGGAGATGGTCTTACGACACTCACGATGGCATCTCTCATTAGCCTCGTTTGTCACGAAGCTAATGAATTCGGACAAGCATTCTTGGACAATCACTTTGGCTTCGTCCGAGATCTTTGCATTGGCCGGTAGGGTTCGACGCATGATTCTGACCACATTCGTCATGGGAATCATGCATTGATCATGGAACGATTGTTGTCGATTGGTCAAGTCAGCAGCATCATCTGAGCCGGCAGAGCCCTCTTGTATGACTATACCTGTGCTAAAACATACTATTTTAATGTTGTAATGAAAATTGACACTGAATGTGTATGTACCTAAATTGGAAATGCAACCACATAATAAAATTACCTACTAATTAATTATTTACAATAAATAAATCAAAACATAATAGTTGAGGCAGATAACTAATGTGAAATATGCTAAATTTGCTTGCTGTTGGGTCATTAAGAGAAAGGTAATGGCCATTAATTGTCACAGCTTTTTGTAGCTTGCATCATATACAAAAAGCCAAGTATATTGGTGCCAAGTTGTTGGCCCCTTTGTCCAGTGGCTAACAAATTATTTACAAGCGAAAAGGCCTAATTTATTACACTTAAATGAGTTTCAACAGCTAAAGAATGGTAACAAGCACTCTTATAATTTCATTCCTTTTAAGTCCTACACATAAATCATTCGAGAAATGTTATAGGTACATAACCGTGTAAGTACGTAGATGCGTACATAACACTCATATTAAGGGGGTCCTACCAAAAAAAAAAATTAAGTGGACCACACTCCATGTGAGTATTATGTATATCTCTATGTACATTTATTATGTACTTGTAGCATTTTTCAAATCATAATGGCTAACAATATTAGGCAATGTTTGGTAAAACTAGATTATAACTGATAGTTTATCAGTAATTTTCGATCTTTTATCTTATAGCTTATGACTTATAGTTGCAAAGCTAGCTTATATAATAAAAGTGTTTGGTAAAATTAGTAGATAAGCTAGCTGAAATAAAAATTTCAACGAGTTTGTTTAAAAAGCTACCCAAAGAAGCTTGTGAGATAAGCTCGAACTTTTTAAAAAGTATGTCCTATCAAAGGAAACTTATTTAAATACAGAAAACTTATAAGCTATACGCTAAGTTGTTGGTCTACCAAACATACCCTAAAATTCTAATTTATTGGTCTACCAAATATACCCTAAAATTCAAATTTAATTGCAACTCGAAATCTCTTCATAAGGGTGTTTGAGCCTTTATAAAATCAGATAATAATATTTATTTTTCTTAAATGAAAGTGACACTATAAATTGGCCTACATATTGCCATTGCAATGTCATAGACACTTCAAATACATTTAAAAAAAAAAAAAAACCACTAAATTAATTTAACTCTTTGAGTATATGGCATGTCGAAATTAAGCGTGTCGTGCCCGCCAAAAAATTTCCAAGGTAATCGAAATAAACGTAGATACTTGTTGTAGGAAAAGATCAACTTCAAACAGTCGAAATTATACGAAAGAATCTGAATATAATATCGTATATGAAAGCGACAAACGATCACTTTTTAATTTAATTTACGCGATCGAAATCCAAAGAAATGAGAATTCTTCATGCATGATAAATTATAAAATTTTATTGCACACACTGATTTGCTCTGAATAAAACTCAAAATAGTACAAAAATCTTATGCAACATTTTACCAGCTCGATGTGTTTCTTGATTTGGATTTGAACTTCCTCCACTTTGCATCTTCAATTGTTTCTATCTCTTGTGTTTTGCTATGAATTGTGTATATAAATAAGGGAAGCATTAAAGAAATGACTCCACAAGGGCATAAGAAGGGTCAATCTTTGTTTTACTAGAGGTGAAACTCGGGGGCAAAGTTGGGATGTAATAATTAATCTTTTTCGCCATAATTTAAATATGGGAATTATATATTTCGAATGAAATTATAAATATTTATTTTATGGATGCTTATTTCAACATTATTACATTATTTATTGTAATAGAAGGATAAGTAATCAAATTAACTAGTACAACGCCCGCGTATTACATGGGTGCTTGCTAATTTTTTCTTTAAAATCCAAAATTATTGAGAAAAAATAGTTGAAAATTTAAATAACTTTTATAAAAATATATATTATTATATATTTAGTATGACATTTTTTATTTGTGTGACTTACTTGTGTTATATTATAATAATTTTTTTAACTTACAACATATAACTACATTAAACAAAAATATATCAACTGAGAAATAATTTTATTTTTCTAATAAAATTTAATAAATATTATTTTTTATTATTATAAAGGTAAATATTATTTATTTATTTTATAGATACAATATGGATGCCAAATCGAAGATCATGAAAAGATGATTAATTTGATATATTATATATGTAAAACCATTAAGAAATACAAAAGTTATCAACTTTTAAAATACATTTATAATTCAATAGCTAATTGAAGGAAACAAATCAAAAGTCAATGATATATTAGTCACTTAGTGTCTCACTATGTAAAATTACAAAGAATTAAAGGGTTATATTAGTACGATATTAAAATACCTAAGTTAGCTAAATAATATTTATGGAATGTCCGAACCTAGATATTAATTATTAATATATCAATATTATTTGTCCGAACCTAATTACGAAGCATGATTCTTCGTCAAGTAGGATTCCGAAGCACCAGAAACAACCACGTAGGCTCAGCGCATTCGGGAATTATATATAGGGGCGATAGTTCAATCATTTATTAGTAAATGAGGACAAATTGGATATAATTGTACTAAACCTGTTATAATTAATAAAAAATTAGCACATTCTCTTTTCGTTATTCGAATATTAGAGAATAGAGATGATGTTTTTTTTTATTTTTTTATTGATTCCCGTTAGAACTTTAATTTATGATACATCATGATAAGTTGTTAATAATTTAATTTATAGAATCTAAGAAATAAATCAATTAATTACTAGTGAAATACATCTATATCTATCTATATATATATATATAATTGTTTGCAAGTTTCATTAAATTTTATTCAGCCATCGATTAATAAAAATATAGTTCATTTAATAAAAATCTTTATGACTCTTCAAAACCGTTATAACATATTTTATTATTTATTTTTTCTTTTAATTTGTTTCATACAATTATCCACCTATTTTTTATTATATTTTGAGTTTGTAACAGTTACATGGGATTACAATTTTTTATTTCTCTATATCTGGGGCATGTAACTGTTGGCAACGAGATAATATTTAAACCATTAAATTTGAAAGGTTATTATATTTTTTTTAATTTATATTTTGATTATTCAGAGGTAACATAAGTATTAATTATTGGTATGATATAGACACAATCCAAATTATATAAACAAAACTTTTGTAATAGAGATATTTACACCAGCTCTTTCAAATTTGAAATTTTCTGGGAAGATTGTACACTACATTAGTTGAATTTAATGAAAAATAATTATTCATTTCATTATATGCGATAAATATAGTGATAAAGTTGAATACTTTTAGGATTTTTATTTTACGAATGACAAAAATATTTAAAATTTAATATTATTATTTAATTTATAATTTTATCATTATACGTATACACATAACTTATAATAATTTAAACATATGTGCATGTGCACATGATCAAATACTAATTAACTTAATTAGTAGATTCATAAATTATGAAAAAATTATTATTTATTTATTTTATATTCAAATCCCACAACTAAATTTCTAATTAGAGTATAATATTTAGTAACCAATATGAAGTAATAATTAATTTTGATGGATTAGTATTTTATTTTAAACATCCAAAGATAACTTATTTTTGTTTATAAAGCCACCGATTCATAAAAGTATTAATTACACATATAAAAATAATTTTACTACAAAATGTTATTTTAAGTATTTAATATAATGGTAATAAACTTCTTTAATTTATGAATAATTGCCCATAATAAATTTAAAATTTAATCATGATATTTGTACTCTTTTTTTTTTGTACAGGGACCTTCCGGTTTCCGGATCTACAGGGGAACCGACTAATCCGGAATCGAGTCGAGTAGGACTACAAGGGCGGCAAAGTTCTCCCTCAAGAGTTTTAACACTGCTGCATTCCCAGGGCATACATTACTGTTTATATTTGTACTTTTACTCCACATATCACCACCTTTTGTTTAATTGAAATTACGACACATCATGTTAATAAATCAACTAGCTAGCCATGTATGCGTATTTGGCAATACCTAAACGACGTAGCTTCAAATGAGGTGGAAAGTTTTATCAAATACTAACAAATATCATGATCTTTTGGAAAGTTTTATCAAATATCAAATATCATGATCTTTTTTTTTT